TTTGTTATTTCTTCTTGTCTGCTGGGTTTGGGTTTTGTTTGCTGTTGCTTTTCAAGTGTGTTGAGCTGCAATGTTAAGTTATTTATTTGTGTTCTTTCCGAATTTTTGATGTAGGCACTTAGAGCTATAAACTTTCCTCTTAGGACTGCTTTCAGCAGAGACAGCCCCTTTTTATGTTGCCCAGGTTTGTCTCGATTTTCCTGGACTCAGGTAGCTAATCTCCCCACCTTGGGTTCTCCAAGTAAATGGGGCTGCAGGCATGTGCCAACATGCCCAGCTTATAGCCTTTTTGAAGTATTTTCTAAGAAAAGCATGGTGGTACAATGGCCAGCCTTCCAAACATAAAACAAATCTTCTGTGGAAAAATATATTTAGAGCTCCAATTTGAAACTAGAAATGTCTTTTCAGGAAGTGGTATAGCCAGCATGTGGAGTTGTAGAGGTGGTAGAAACAGTATGGGTTTTACCTGTGAAAGTCTCGTTTGCTTTCTGGCATTATCACTAGTAGCTTTATAATTCTGAACAAATTACTTAACTAAAGTTCAGTTTTTCATGTGAAAATCAGAGATAATGGCATGTATTTCTCAGGCTACTCTGTGGATCAAATGTGGTACATCAGGCAGGCAAACAATAGATACTACTAAGTTTTTTTCCATTCCCCTACTGAGGAATTCTTGATCAAAATGAACCCCAGATAGACCAGAGAAGAGGGATGGGTCAGGGAGTAGACAACAAGGGACTGGATATTCAGGGAGACATGCCACAGGCTTAAACATTCTTTATGGTCAGAACAGATAAGGGATCTAAATAAGCTTTAAAAATTTTTTAAATTTATTATTTTTCTTTTATGTGTATGAGTGTATTGCCTGCATGTATGTAAGTGCACCTGTGTCATGCAATGCTCTCAGAGGACAGAAGGCACTGGATGCCCTGGAACTGGAGTTAAGGACAGTTAGCTGCCATCTGGGTGCTGGGAATGGAACTTCGGTCCTCTGTAAGAGCAGCCAGTGCTCTTAACCACTGAGCCATCTCTCCAGCCCCCTAAACAACCTTCTGATTCTTCGTTTTGCTCTTATAGGTACTGGACTTAGGCATCTCTTTCCTTTTTATTTCTCTACTCTGCTCATTCCAGAATCCTCACTCTTTCTTCTAGCCAACTGAAAGAATTTAGTCTGTTATCAAAGCAAATACGTGGAGATTGACAACTGGAATCAGAGAATGATGACCTCAGTGAACTCACTCTTTTTTCCAAAATAGCAAAAATACAAACAAAATCAACTATTTCAGCTCTTGCATTTAACAAAAGACACAGAATGAATTAAAAAAAAATCCACAAAACTGTCTATCTAAGAAAAACTTCTTAATATTGATGTCCCTGAGGAAGGCAGCTAAACCAGACACTTTAGATGATGCATGATCCTAGAATCACCCAGCTAATAAAAATGCCAGGTTCTAATCCTGTCTTTACTGGCACTGTAACTTTTTATCTCTGAGTTCAGGTTCATACTATTTTTAGTATAACAATCTGTTAGAATTAAATAGTCAAATGGGTAGCAACAACACATCTATGGCCAAAAGTTATTTATCTGAAAATAACTTCCCCAAATTAACCTTTTCACCTCATACATGGAAGATAGCATACTATTTCTAATCAAACTGTTGTATATCTATACCAACAGTATTTTGCCATTCCATGTAGTTATTGTCTATTAAAATTTCTTTAAAATGCTGGGTGTGGTGGCATACACCTTTAATCCTAGCGCTCAGCTTGATCAACAAAGTAAGTTCCAGACTACAGGGAGGCCCTTTCTCAAAAAGCAAGCAAGTAAACAAACAAAAATTTAAAAAAGAATCAACAAAATAATTTCTTTAAAAGTGACAGTCAACCTAAAATTCTAATTTAAGGTAGAATAACAATATTAAAATTCTTCTCTTTGCAACAAACCTTATTCTTCACAGTACATTTGTCAAAGACTGGTTTCTTCTGTCGCTCTCGCTCTCTCTCTCTCTCTCTCTCTCTCTCTCTCTCTTTTTTGGTATTAGTATGCAATAACCCTCATGCCTTGCTGCTTTAAAGTATCCTTCTTTAAAGGATGAATCCTACAATTATAATAGTGTCTCAATGAGAGAGCACAGAAGGCCTTGGCTTTAATCTCAAGCCCCTAAAATAAACAGATAAATCAAACTATACAATGGATACTGTAAATTTATTAGCTTGCAAACACATACTTAGTATTAAGTGTTAAGTACACAGTACTAGATTTACTTGAATTTTATTTTTTTAGTGTATGTGCACACATATGTGAGCTTGTTCATGCTGCAGGGTGCACATGTATACATGGAAACCAGAGAACAACCTTCAGTATAGTACTCAGGAGCCACCACCTTGTTTTTTTAAGACAAGGTTCCTCAGTGGGACCTCTGGCTTACCCATTAGGGTGGCTGGCTGACCAGCAAGCTCCATGGATCCAACTGTTTCCACCAAGTCAGCGATGCAAGTGTGCCCCTGGCCCAGCTTTGTTCACAGTCCGTAGGGCTCAAACTCAGCTTCTGCATGCTTGCAGAGCAAGCACCTTCCTGAATGACCCATCTCCTCAGCCCAAATTATATTTTATGATTATGGAATGACTTTTAAATCACCTAATAATGATTCTCTTTGTTGGAATTAAATCCTACCTTAGGAGAAGTAGAGTGATCTCTTCCTGCAGAAACAAGGTTTTCATTTCCTCCTGTCTTCGGTGAAAGGATCGGCGGGGCTGGAGCCTTTCTTTTCACTCTCCTTTCTCTTTCCCCTTCTTGAACTGCATTTACCAAACTATTTGGAGAAGTTGGCTTAGGCTCATAAAAAGGATTTGATCTAAATGAAAGAAAAATGATCATTAAATGTCTCTCAAAAACAATTTACATGTAAAAAAATAAAACATGTTCTAAACACTCTGTTTTCCCAAATAAACCCAAACCAGTGAAACTTAAAAGCATGGAAATGATTTTAATCTTTTGGCCTATTTATATCAAATTTGATATATTAAATATTATTTTTCCCATTTAAAGAAGTATTAAAATGTAAGATAATGCTAATGCTTAGTTTGAAGTACTGTAGAACTCTAGGAAAATGTAATGTTAAAAAGGGAGACTGTATTTTCCATACCAAAGTAATAGAAGATAGGACAGAAATGTCGATGTATTTTCTTTTTTATGCTTTTCTTCTTGTATTTCATCCCTACTTCTGTGTTAAATTCCCTCCTCATTATGTTTTCTCTAGTTTCTTCTTCAGAAAATCAAATCTTACTACATACTGGACCACCCACTACTTTGTTATTTTCCTAACCTCTTCCTATTTTTATAAATCTTTCTGTCTTCTATGCTGCATCCTAACTCCCTCATATCTCAGACCCATTTTACTTTTTCTCTCTTCATTGATGTCTAGTGTTCAACTCTCCATGAATTTCTGTTTTTACTAACTATATTATCATGTGTTTGTATACTCTATTAATCATTTAAACCTATTTATGTTATAGTCTCCATCTGATAAATCTTTATTTAAAGTTCTTAATTCTTTTGCTTCCTTGAGCATTTTATAACTCTAGATTGTTAGTTTAAGGCTTCCTCTTAGAAAGTATGTTAGACTGAGTTAGTCTGCTTTCTTCAGAGTGCTTTCTGCCTTTGTTTGCCAACTACTTTAGGAATCACTCTGTATATCATTTTCATAGCTTGGGTGTTACAAAGCAATTCAGCCAATGTAACACCAAATCTATATGAGTCTATGCTTAAAATTCTCAGAGAAAGCTTTTTGCTTTCTTACCTAGAGTTTCAGTCTTCGTGGAAAAGCTTTCTTTTAAAAAAATTATTTTTATCTATGTGTATGAATGTATTGCCTGCATGTATGTAAGTGCAGTGCCCGAGGAGGTCAGAAGAAGGTGCTGGATCCCCTGGAATGAGAGTTATGGACAATTGTTAGCCCCCATATGGATGCTGTGAACTGAACACAGGTCCTCTGCAAGAGTAGTCAGTGCTCTTAACTGCTGAGTCATCTTTGCAGCCTGGCAAAAGCTTTCTTTTTTTTTTTTTTTAGGTTATAAATTCTTTTATTAATTCATGAAAGGAAAAACATTACAAAATCTTTTCCATGCCTCAATTTTACTCTGATTTGGGATTCAACTTGCTTCACCATCCATTTGCTTTTCCCCTTTGTGGACAAACAGAACATCCTTTCAAGGTTGTACAAGTTTTTTTTTTTTTCAATACAGAAAAATTCATTCCAGGGCTCTTGACATTGAGACGTTTTCACATGCATTTCTAATCTCTATATACTTGACTATCACTGGTCACAGTCACCCACCTTCTGCGCTCCTCGGCATCTGAGCATGAATACAAACTCGTCAGGTAGACAGCTTTCCTCTCCCACTAGAGCCTCCATCCTCTGCTATCCCTGCCACTGTCCACTGTGCTCAGCACCCCCCCATCCATTCCCCCCATCTGCCCTTCTGGT